AAACGTTTATTTTATGTATCGTAACTATGAAACAAATTGTGGAATTTTAAAATTGAAAATGTACATAAAATTGAATTTAGAAACCATTAAGCTATTGAATGAAGCTTGAAAAGTACAAGTCCATGTAAATAAAGTTTAAACGATAAAATTCTACGCATTTACATAATTATTTTCGTTAACTGAAAATATAGATATAACATCTATCAAAAAGTTAATTCTTTCTTTAAAAGGTCCAAACTTCAACCTTTTTGAACYATTAGCTCTAGCTAGTGGCGAAGAAAGCGGAGATGAAGAAGACGGGGACGCAACCCACTCACATTCGTGTGAAAGTAGACAAGCAGAGACGTAATGCATTGCGCACGTGTTTTCACAGCAAAGACGTAAAGTATTTTCGCGCGTATTCAAAAGTCCTTTGCGTGCGTTTGTGATTCAGCGACTGGAGACGTAAGAGGAAAAGCGAGAAGAAACCTTGTGTTCTGCGGCTACTGGTGTCTTTTATCCCTGTCCGTTTTCTTCGCCTTTACTGCAGTRAGAGCGTTCSTCYACCACTCCTGTTTTCCTTCCATCGCCCATGTGTACGGAGAGTCTTGCACCCCTCCCTTCMMCAAACATCTTSTTGTTTTAGGGCTCCATATCCTATTTTAAGTTAATGCCGTAACCATACCTAGGACTCATATCTACTATTGGCTAATAAGCTATTGGTAGTTAGGATCATTCGTCGATATGTTTGTCCCATTTAGTCGTAGAAAGTCCTTCTTACACAGTTCAACGCGCACGTGYTTTCTGTCAGGGAATTCAAGAGGTTTTCTATTTGGATGTCCATAAACAGACGACGACAGCGATGGGACTGGTAACACACTCTCCTGAAAATAAACCGAAAAAAAAAAATATGTGCACTCAGAAAATACGAGCATTCGCAACGCGCAATCATGAGAGACGATAAAATCCGTATTTCCGCGCGCCCATGAAATATCCTGTATTTATCATATAATTATCTATGAAATACCTATATTTCTCCTTTTCGTAAAATTGATATTTTTACTAGTGGGAGGGGGGACTCCCTTATAAAARTTGGAAGGTATGCTCGACGGACCTTTTAGGGTCGAAAATAAAACCGTCGCGTACCTTTTAGGGTCGTGAGCTGACTCCGTACCTTTTAGGGTCAATTTTCGAACAGYGGCGAAAAAATTGAAGTGTTATAAAGAAATAGATTTTATTGACCTCAACAATCTATCGACATTGATTTTCTACAGTTTGTTAAACTTGAGCTTTTCTCTTGTTAAAGACGTCAAATTATCGTACATTTTAGGGTCTGGAATCGATATCTGAATTAATTGCGTCCGTCGAGCATACCTACCAACTTTTTTAAGGGAGTCCCCCCGGGACAAAAGGAAACCACGATACATTGTCATATATTTCGCCCCGGTTCTTTTCGGAAAAGGGGTCAGTGTTTTTCTCAAGTTTCTGATTTCCATACCTCGCTGTTGACTCGAAGTCCTCTGGATTTAGCGTGCTCACGGTCGTCTCTGTGTAGTTTTTGGTCGTATCCTAGTACAACTCGATTGATACGGTCGTATGTCGATGGTCGGTCGTGCTATGAAGGAACCAGTGCATTTTTAGTAAAAGAACGTTTGAGATAGCAACTGAACAATCACTTCATATATCGGTTACATTTCTCCTCGCTCAAACGTCGAATCACACATGTGTCGAATGATAATGATGGTGAAAAAATTCGACTGATTCTACGTCAATTCACTATGACAGTTTATGATAGTTGAGCTGTGGTGAATATTATCAGCAATCAGTTAGTGTTGATGATGATGACTAGAGCGATGATGAWTCCAATAAACGATTTCCAGCATGCGTGGAGACGCTCTTTCACAAATATATCACGCGCATGCGCATTCAAGGCCAGTGTTTGTAAGTTCGCTTATAGAGCGGATTTCGTATGAGTGGGACACCGTTACCGCACGGTTACCGCACAGTTATCGCACTTGGCCTGCACAATTTTGGTGAACCAATGGGGCACTAGAATTTGGTTACAGTACGGTTACGGTCACAGTACAGTACCGTCCGTTTCCCACTCATACGAAATCCGCTCTATGTTTATGGTTTTTATGCGTCTTTGATATTTCCTAAAGCGCTTGCGCATCTAGAAAATCATCCATTATTAAAATAAAAGGCATGATGATGATAACGATGATTAACTTTGAAAAGTACAATAAATGAAGCTTGAGTTATTTGGCTAATTATCTTACCAAAGTCTTTGCTTTGAAGTAGCTAGTGTCTTGTGTGATGTCTATGGGTTCGGGTTTTTTGATTTTCCACGAACTGGAAACATTTTCACCTCCTTTTGTCACGATGTGGTTTGTTCGAATACTTTCTTCGCGCTAAAAGATTGATAGCATGAATCAGTGATTGTTTTYCAATCATATGCCAATATTCTACCTAACCCCATAAAAATAGGGGCGGATCAAGGCAGGGGTCTTCATAATGATACCCAACACTTCACTATAGCTGCGCTCTTACGTGTGTTTCAACCGATAATCATTTCTTCAAATAATCAACAACCAAATGAAGAATCGTACAAGCAAAATGCGCATAAGGGCGCGCGAACTAACGAGTGCTGACTCCCCCCCCCCCCAACATAAGAAAACATACACATAAACTACTAAATACAGACAGCGCAAGCAAACCAACGTAGGCAAACAATCAACGATCAGCTTAAATCGAAAAACACACAAACCAACAAACCAATCAGACTAGCAAACAATCGAGGAAAGTCATAGACAAACAAACAAGAAACACAAATACAGACAAGCAACAAGACAGACAACTGGCAAATAATCCCAAATTGATAAACATGTCGAAAATTCATAAGATGACAGAAAAGTGTAGCTCTTAGTGTAGGCTTCAATCAATCTTTAAGCAGAAAATGTAAGTCATTCTTTTAAACAAATGAAATAAGTACGGCTTCTCTTACGACTAATGTTAAAGTTTACCATATATCACATACAAACTCTGCTTGTTTCTATTCCATATCTGCCATATACCAGTAACTTATTCTTAGTTKTAAAAGTTGGATAAAAGGGAAAAATTTGAGCCGTTAAATGCGAACACAAGGCTTAGTATATATAACTTTTAAGTCAGAGATTCAGCGTCAAACGACTAAGAAATACATTCAAACCTTGACAGTTTCGACCCATTGACTTTTTTCTTCTTGTGGATTGTACAGTTTAAGTCCATAACCKGACATTTTGTAGCCTTCTCCTGGATATTCACCCATTTTAACGAAAGAAACGACACTCCAGTTACARGTARAGGAACTTAGTTTGTAATAAATGACCATGCAGTTGCCATGGTATAAAAATAATTCAGAATATCCCCCAGGGAGTCATTATAATCCACCAGAAAATACAAACTACTGGAGCGAATCATTATAACGAAGATAATTACCAGCGTTAAGTTAAATACTTAAGMAATTGTTTTACTGCAAATAATGTAAATTTTATAATCAAAAACGAAATAAAAAAGAGTGAAAATTAAAATTTGAGGAATATTTGAAATATTTTGATGATTTTCTGCAAACAAGTACAAACTTCTTAATTATTAATGGCCGATATTATTCAATTTGCCCTTCACTTAATAATTCCTTTTTGCAGGTGAAAGGAGTGAAAGAGAGGAAATGTGAAAAAGAAAGATAGAAAGGGAAAAGGGAGAGGAAGAGAAGAGTAGAATGAAAGAAAGAACAACTGGATTACTGAAAGTTTAATAGAAGATAAACAATTTAGTTAATAAGCAAAATGAAGAAATGAACTAGTAAATGAATGGATGGGTGGGCCATGCAGCCTTGTGCCCAGATCCTTATCAACTAAACAGGGATAGGGGTCTGGGAATAATGTTGTGGATCATGATGAATATTTCAAAATGGCCGTGCAAATAAATAATGAAATAAATAAATGGAAATAAATAAATGGATGGATGCAAAATGAAATGAATGGAGTCAGTACTAAAAATAAAATGTCTCCTCTCTATATCGTGTGATAAAAAGGAGGAGAGAATGAAAAGTATAAAGAATGAATAAATAAATGAATGAAAATTAAAATGTCGAATCAATCAAACAATAAATCAGTTATTAACAAATGAATTCTGACCCAAAAAGTTTCCATTTTGTTTTCTAGTTTGGCATTTTTCTGTAACTTAGTATTATAATACCAGAATATATAATGACTCAGAATTAGTTGTATACAGATCTCTTCTACTAATGAAAYTTTGTATTCAATCAGCCCAAAAGAAGTTCATGGATTGGTTGAAACTTTGCCCAATTGGTAGAAAAAGCCATCAGAACTTTGAGGTTGCAATGCAATATTGCAATAGAAATCAGGGCATAAACAAAAAAAATGGATCTGAATGGGTCTCATTCTGAAAAGTAACTAAAGTAACTGCAGCCCTAAGTCTATCCTTGATATTTTTGAAAGGAAGCAAATCGTATTATGTTAACACTATATTATCCCGCCTGTATATACACCATTTTAAAATTCAAAGCAAAAAAAGAAAAAAGAAACGCTGTTTTATTTATCAGCAGATTGCACAAGACAATTCACCAAACACAAGAAAATAAATGTTATATTACAATAGCCTTGAAAATTGTATTTTCCCTGAGTTGGGACTTACCATGTATTCCCATAACACCTAAAGTATAACCTTCTCAGGGAATACAGGGATAGCCTCAGGGGGGAAATGTAAATTGTTAGTGCTAATTGTGCTTACAACATTTTCTTGAGCTTTCTATTGTGTTTGGTAAGAGAAGCTATTGTCAAACAAAACAGTGGTTATATTCTGACTATCATTTTGAACCCTATATGAAAAAAAGTCTTTTTAAATACACCAGTCAAAACATGAAACATATTTGATTTACTACCATTGATTGATTGATTGATTGATCAAATGATCATGGATGGATTAATTCATAATATTTTGAGTGGATTTATTGATAGACTGGCTTATTGGTTGTTTGAAGCACTGCTAGCTGATTGATAATGGATCAACTTACAAAGTAATCTCCTTTTTTCTTGAAAATATTTTATGTTGCTCGCAACCTAATAAGTTACTGCATGCAAGAGAAATGCGCGACGTGTGGCCCAAGGCAGCAAGGCAGCAAAATTGAAAATGTCATATCTTGATTTTATCTTAAGATTATACTAGTGTTGTAATCTTAAGATTATACTAGTGTTGTACGAGGCAATAACAATATAGATGAGTACCTATTTACCATCCTTTACGACACAAACAAAAGCTTTCTATAAAATTATCGAAGTGAAAAGTGGACGAGGCAAGACCTGAACATCTAACAACACGAGCATTATCTCGCCCGCTGTTTTAGCCAGCTTCTTTCTTTAAAGCACGCAATAAGATACAAACGATAAACAATACCTTGTGTTTTATCAGCTGATGTTGGTCATAAGCCTGAAACAATAATATTTTGCTAGGTGAGAGAGAGTGTTGAAACCAAATCATTGAGATTACTTATTACTTGTATTGTAGCTTCGTTYAGAAGCTCTAATTGTCAATAAAAATATATCATTTTCCTTTTTCTTACCTTAGAAAGTATTCCAATAGGTCTAAGAGAATTTCTGGCATCGTCTACCTCAGTTTCACTGGGATAATAGGAAAAATTGAAGCCTTTTACTAGCTCTGCCATTTTGCAAACGTTGTCCTGTTACGAACATGCGTTTGCTAAAGCTTGAGGGCGTTTCCATGGAAATGACATTAATTATTAACTATTTATAAAGATTAACTTACAATAGAAAAGAAAATAGATAGGCTTATCAATGCTTTGACTAGCTTTGCATAATAAAACCACTTCACAATTTTATTAAAAAATAGTTTGTAGACAAAATAATAGCTGTAACCAGGGACGTGTAACAAAGGAGTGTCGTCATGGATCTCACTGAACTCATACAGCAAAAATACACTGAGCTAAGTTCCTAATTCTTTCTTGTTACATACTTTTGATGTACGTCTTGCATTTTAAGAGAGGATAAAAAAAGTCAAACAGTTAATAGTGGAAACGAAAAAAATGGGAATTAGAATGGGAATGTATCCCACAATGCWAAGTATACCGAAGGTAGRGGTCAGCGGTATTTAGACAAAGATGGTGGTTAGACGATGAGAGTTTCACGTTATCGACCGGTTGTTTACGTGCAGTTGTTCTTTTTATTTGTCGAYATTTTTATAAATTCCTTCGGAGAACTCTTTAGGACAGCAGATGTAGTACTTTTGGTTTTATATATGTAAGTATTGAGTAGTTCATTGTCGAGATTGGTGTYGATAAAGATGAACATTGTTGTCGTGGTTTTGACAATTTTGTTGTCATTATTGTACTCGATTTTTCGTGAAAATTACGTTCTTTTGATCTACTGATTAATGTCACAAGGCAAACTTTAAGACATCTACTCYTGATAAATATAGTAATATATAGTTTTAGGATTGATACACGAATTRTAAGGCAAACATTTTTCRTTGCGCGCGTCGGGCGTCCGTGGTTGTTTGTGAATTGATCGTTGCTATTGTAAGCTTAAATGGAAGTGACTCATGACTGTTTATAGTGCGTCTTCTTCGTTTYCTGTTSWTCGAGTGGCTTTTGCTTATTCTTTMACGTWTGAAGTACATTTAAACACATAAACGTCGATTGATTGGATGAACATATGTGTAGTGTTGATGACAACTGTTGCTTGTCTAACAGCTAGCCTTTGACTTSGGTTGATCAGCTGTGTTTTGTCGATCAMAAGCCTTGCCTCCTTTTGTCGTTAAATAAGACAACATGTCATCGTTCCCGTGAATTTCCTGTGGTTAMGTAGCAACATAAAGTCTACGGATAAGACGATTTACTAATTCTCCGAAGATTATGCCGTCSTGTTTGTAGGAGAGAATTAACATTRAAAATATTGCATTATSAACAAAGAGGTGTKATCAATWACAGGTTKCTATGGTAATAGTGAAGGGAAGGGATATAACAATGTTACTGTATTAATAATCATTATTATTAGACAGTAATGAATATTTATATTACAATATTGCACTTGATTATTCACAAGTGCAGTCTGTTTTACCAATGTTTCCAAATTTGTAACGTCGATGTCTCAATCTTTGGATATTAAAATTATCAGTAAATCAATAAATGAATTTTTAAACGTAATGTTCTTGGTAAAGAACTGTTACATTATTGTTTCCATAATTATAATGTTCAAATAAAGTAAATATACACATTTCTAGTATCACTAAATATAATCAATAATGATAATAATAATCAATCTTTATTCACATATAAAGGATATGCTTATTTTTCTTTTCTAGTATCCAAGATGTGTGTATTATTCTAGCCATTATTGTAGTTTTCCTGTTATTCTTCAATACATATGTATTCCAAGCTGGTCTTGTATCATTGCTGATAAGAAAATTCAAGACGACTATTATTATAGCAGTTGTATATCTGGCTTTATCTGTAGGCCTCCATGTCTGGACAATGGTACGTATGTTTAGTGTTTAAAAAAAAGAAATCATAGGCCATAAAATATCAAATAATATAGTATTTTACTAAATCTATTGTTCAAATAATAATGCATTTATTATTTTAGACCAAGAAGTGGGGAGATCCACAGAGATTTGTCTGGAATGAAGCACTTCAGGCCCTGTTTGTCTTCCAACGAGTTGGTRAGTGTGTTGGTTGTRGCAGTTGAACTGTATACCAGCAAAGCTGATATTTATGTGATAGATCTAGTGTATGCAAGCACATTCGTTGTGATTTTGTCATTTTTAAGTAGGCCAAGTGTTGATTGAGAGTGTTGATATTGAGGGTGTTATTGACAAAAAATTTGCTGTCCAGGTGCTGTTCTGTACTACTACTTCTATAAAAGGACTTCATTACGATTAGGAGATCCCAGATTTTACAAAGATACAGAGTGGTTAAGACAGGAGTTTGCAAGAACACATTAAAACAATACATRAAAAACATAGACAACTCACCATATTGCTGTCATGRTACAGACATCATGAAAAACCAAGCTAAGGATGCTGCGATARACTACAACATGAATCAGTGCTATAACTGCACAAGTTTGATGGACTGTTTGATCAAACTTCCTTTAGGCATCAAATGTACATTTTATTTATAAGAACTTCTTATACTCTACTTCTTATGCTCTCATCTTTCTCCTCTTATTCTTTATACTATAATTATTAATATGAGCAAATGTACAGTGCTTTACTATCTTTAGTACCATTTTTTGCTTAGATTGTATAGCTTATTGCTTCTGCAAATAGTAAATAGAATATGGATTTATTTGGTGCTATGTTCAGCTATGAGTTAGTAAACAAGAAGCATATATTTTGATATTGCTCCTTTAATACTAATTGATATTTCTAGGAAAAATTCAATTCAAATAGAATAGAGTGAACGCATTAAATCTGTGAAATTGTAAAGCAAAAGAGCACAAAATTSCACTAAATCTGCCATTGAAGCAGAATTGCCTTTGAATCACCATAATTGTTCCTGATCAAGACACCATTTTCTAATTGTGGTACAAAGTACAAAGTGGTTAATTAAATTTCATGGTTAAGTGCGTCCACTCTGCACTTGATAACTTATTGTAAAAACTGAATATGCAAGCCGTTGTTGAGTTCTGTACAATAAAGTTTAATAAAAGACTGGTTCTTATTGAAGTGACGATGTAGTCTAAGAGTCAACCTCAAAACATGTTCTTTAATTCAGCAATCCGTTCTTCACATAGTGAATCACTAAACAATGAGCATGGTTTTCCCAGCAAAATTGAAACTGCCCTAGCGACAAGCACAAATCCAATATTTTAATAAATTCATTAGCTTTTCCTGATGAAAATGTAAAAAAACATATAACACAAGGCAAGTTTCCATATATTGTAGCAATTGTAATCTTTTCCATGCTCTATATTTAAGTACTATTTTCGCTTGACCAACATAGTAACGGTAACTAGGGAAGTAGGACAATGAATGACCAATGGGATTATATCTTCAATGATACATGGAGTTGTTAAGCCTGGTTCACAATCAACAACAACACTTCAAAAAGAACACATTACATACCTTAATCTACTGTTTTTATGTCATTCAGGAATACAGAGTGAATTATGTAAAACCAATGACATACATTTTTATATTGCTTAAGGTAGTCAGGCCTCAGCAGGATAGTCCAGCAACAAAACACATACATAATTACGAAAACAGTTGTTTATTTGTCAAAATTAACTTGAAAATAGATGTTCTTTCTAGACTATGGTTTTGTTACAGCACAGCTACTAAAATCAAAACCACATTGGCAAGAGACAGGATTGAACACACTGGTGGACTTTAGAATTTAATCACTTCCTGATTTCTTGCAAATGAAGTAGAAGTACTGTAAGTCTTTATAAAGTGTTTACAGAACATCATGTGAAAAAATATGYGATTACATACAGACAGGTTTAAATAAAGTATCTTACAGTTTTAAATTTCATGCGATGAAATGTTTCAAAGCCTCTGATAGCTATGATAGATACAAAAGACCCTTCATCAGAGGGTAACCTTTTTACAAAAACTAATACAATTACACCCTTGAGGAGACTTTGCATAACTATGCAAAACCTCACATAGAATATGCAGTCTGCATAGAAAATGCTGAAATAAGAGAAGTAYATTTTGTAGYACCACATGACACACAGTGGCTTATTGTGGCACAYTGACACAAAATCTCTTTGTTAGATATAGCACAACAATTTACTTATGGATGATCTTAACCTTTACAAATTTAATTTAAGGCACTTCACTTRTCCTTGGTTAACTATTACAACATGGGGGTTCTAACGCTTTTGTTTTTTTTAATTAACACTGGTTAGTTGCAAGAAATGCCAGATTCTGACGATTAGCAAATGCAAGTGAAACTATTCAAAGTGGAGTGCTTGTTCGATAACTGAATTGGAAAGTTACTAGAGGTATTTTTGAATGACGCTTCCCACAGAATATTCTAAACAAGACTAAGAATCTACTGCAAGTGGTTGTCTGTCAGGTCGATACTTGTACATTGGTGGCTTACTGCATTCTTCAATTTGCTCCTGGATTTGCCCCACAAAGATGTGCGTAAGRATAATTCCCAGAAACTAAATAAGAAAAATTCAAGAATTAGCAATGATAAACTTCTTTAGTAGTGTCATTCTAGCAGCTTATTTCCTAAGCGTTCTTGGAGATTTAGCCCTAGTTATCCTGTGATGTCATTGAAGGATAGAAGCTATGAAAGCCTGGTGACTAAGCTGTTGTTCCAGTTTTTTGAGTTAAATATTCCTGTTCAAGGTAGCTGTATACTTGACAACTGAGAGTGAACATGCCTAAGGTGCTGGGACGTTGATTTAAGTTTACAGATGGTATGGATAAGAAAATAATATTGCTTTTCTAAAACACCGTCTAAGTCTGCATGATCCTGTGTTTTGTTGGTAAGCAACCCTAAAAGGCATGGCGTCAGTGTGTGGGAATTTCAGCAAACACCAAAACCACATTTGAAAGGCTACTTCCAGCTACTTCCTCCTTAGATTAAATATATTTTAATATATTTGCAGCCTTATTTTCCACAGCGGATGAAGAGAATTGATGATGATGACAATTCTATCAACACATTTTGAAAGATCTACTATCCATTATATTGTATGGTATGAGTACACTTCAAAATGTACCAACACCTTCGAAAGACTCTACAGCCTGCTCACCTGAGGAAAAGCTAAAGCAATTGCAACAGCACCAACAATAAACATGTGATCTTTAAACCAAATCTTTAATGCGCTTATGCATGAAGTGACGTAAATCGTCTTCTTCTGCTCTGTTCGCTGTASACAGAAAGAAAAWMTTTGGMTTGATCACACATGGATTGAATAATGCAGAAATAATKGACTCTATTAGGAGTGTAATAAACCAGATTAACTGTTAAAAAGTTAGAAAATTAATAGTTCAGACAGTGAGCTTAAACACTTACAACTTGCTTTCTGACTTGCCATCCACATTGAATGTTGATTTGCTAAAATCAATGAAGAAACAAATCTTAATAAATTGGATTGTTAAATGCAGAATAATTCTCCATTAAAATAGTTMATAGAGAACAACTTCATGTGGAACACATGKTTTAGTTATTGCTAGTCAAACATGSTACAAAMATTACTCCATGGRGCACAATTTATCCATGACTGTTTTTGCTCWACACAACACTTATAATAGACAAGTAGAAGCATTAGGGAAAAGGAGCCTTTAGGCTCTTGTAACGAGATGTACCTGTCCTTCTTTCATCCTRCAGCAGGTATGCGGTACTCCACATTCTTCAGGTGAAGGTCCACCACACTTGAAGTATCTATTGATATCCCAGTCATTGGAACTTCCCCCTCCACAGCATTGAAACTATTAACGATATTAATCAAATAAGCATTGAAACTAATAATAACGATATTAATCAAATATATGCATTAACATTGAAACTAGTAATAACGATATTAATCACATATATATTCATTAACATTACAACAAATATCAATATTAATCACATATATTCATTAACATTATAACTAATAACGATATTAATCACATATATATATGCATTGGCATTGAAACTAATAACAAGTACGCATCAGGGGGGGGGGGGTGAATAGGGGTCTCCAAATCTGCCGATCCGCGCAAAGTTTTGCGTTAATCATGCTAGCAATCGATAATAAGAAAATCATAAATTCCTGCTAATTCAAAACCCGCTGACGCCATATTTGCCATAATAAGCTCAGAGAAGACGTTTCCACTCACCGCAGAACCTGTAGTCTCGTTTCGCCCGTTTATAAGGCCTTCTTAATGACTTGAACTTATGTTATTGCTTTGTAGTCAACAATCGGCAAAATTCTCAGTCACAATTATTGCCATTATAGAGTCCGAAATCCAACGTTAAATTTTCAATAAATCCGTGATCCGGTACGTTTTAAGAATCTGGAAATCCGCTCTATTTTTTCTTTAAATCCGTAATCCTCATGTCATTTTAGGCCCAGATCCTCCAAATCCGAAAACCTATTTATCCCACCCTCCCATCAGCAATCAAGCTAAAAACAATATTAAAGGCTAATAACAATAATAATCACTGTATGCATCAGCAATCATACTAAAAACAATATTAATCAGATGCACGTATCAGTTTGGGTAAAGAAAAGGACATATAGCAGTTCTTTTTCACTTTCTGATCTTAATAGAAAAATGAAAACAAAAACTATTGCTAACAAAAAGTAGGGAAAACAGTGTTATTATTTGCTATGACAAGTAAAGATAGTCACATTATTGACATTTTGTAATAATTATTAATATTAACAYAAACCTCTGTTTGAACTTTGTCAATAATGTTTTGAAGGTCGATGTTTTCTCTGTARTTTTTTATGCCTTTCTTTAATTGYGTTTCAAGGGATGCCTCAACCTGATAAATTCAAATGTAATTATTTATAATATGAAACCTGACCTGAAAGTTAAAAGAAATGCATTCACATATTTTAAGAAAGTGTTGCACACAAACCTCAGGCCAGAAAGCAAATGCTAATAGCCCAGCGAGAATTTCAAGGATGACAATCACCACCATTGTCCATTTGTACTGATGATAAAAACAACAAATCAATAATTCATACAAAAAAAGTGATGTAAAAGAGCATTTCTCTGCATTAATACCTTGTAAATAATTCAACATTATGCTATAGATTACATATCAACAAAAGGTCCCCGACTTAGGCTTCACAGGTGTTTGTTTGAGTAAAAATACTTTAAAAATTACTTACRAACTGTAAAAAGCAGATGTATTCTCTCAGTGCACCAACAGTACCAAAGAACGATATAATGATGATGAGAATACCAACAGCAATGAGWATGGCTGCAGGRTCAGTGGCAACAGATGCTAGTTGTGTGAAAGTACTTTTCTGTGTTACTGCCCAGATACCAATTCCAAACATAACACTACCAACAATCTACAATCACAAAGATTAAAATAAGTACAGTATAGCCTTTTTCTCTGACAAAAGGTCAATCTCTGAGACATCTTTTTATCTTTTACTGTAAAGWGTACAATATTTAGCACATATTCAACAGATTAGAGTCTTCCTTGAGGAATTTTACTTAGGTTTCTTTATTGTTACTTGTCCCAACTAATTGACTTAATGTGATTCTGTCACACCTTTCAATAGCTGAATAACAAAGAGACTTCCAGTTTTGAATTGGACTCACACTGTGGATTCATAGCTTTCGACTTGATGAATGTTTCTGTACAACATTATGTACTTTAGTGCACAGCAGTGTCACKGATACTGCGACAAATTATWGGCCAACAGAGACATATAGCTTATATTTCCAATTTTGCACACAAACCTAATTAAAACTCGATCAACTCTGACCAGCTGTTGTGCTTATTTTGTAAGGAAATGTGTGGTCATTAATTGATAGAATTACTTAAGTGGATGGCAATTCTACATGCCAGATAAACAGAGCCTTATTCCGCAAGTAYATACTGAGTTATTTAGGGAGCTTTCATGCAGCAATGAAATGAATCACTTCTTCATAACCGACAGTCGGACAATAACAAGAATATCTAACTAGATATATCCTAATTGCAAAACTATGATCAACAAAAATAAACAAAAAAGGTAAAATAAAACTACAATGCGGTATTTTTCATGCAGAAATCAAATGTTAAAGCTCATTACAATGAAATCACGCATAAATCGAACGCCTTCTTCTGCACTCATGGATGGAAGAGGGGTAAAAAAACGAGCTAATATCAGCAAAAAACACAAACTTACCCAATAAAACAGGTTGAAAGTAAACAATAAATACTTCAAGCATTTGCTGACAACATGTTTCGTATCCTCTTGGCTATACATGTTGGATTTTAGACCAGTTATCGACCTGTTCGCAAGGTAACAGACGAAGAAGGGAGGCTCTCACGTTATGCAAATCAGCGACGCCATGATTTGCATAATTACTCGACTTAGTACTCCTCTGACAATTTGGGCGAGGCCCCAAAAAAGACTGATAAACACACAAAAAAACTAAAACAAAACAAGAAACTAAAACAACTGCAACAAAAATAAGAATTTCTTAAAACAAAATAAACAAGTGGTCTGACGCAGTGCTGTTATAGTGCTRTTCTTGGGTCTTCTCAAGGTTAAGTATATGATTTGTTTACCTAATTCACGGACGAAATGTACATGAGACCTCTCTTCTTCATAAGCAAATGGCAGTCATATAAAAAGAAAGAGAGCAAATCTAAAACGATATCTAAAAACCYTCGATCAACTTAAGTTCACAGGGGAGGCGTATTAAACCATCACCATGGAAAAGTATGTTTCAGTGTCATTTTGTTTATTCAGATGGATATATTGGTTCTTTGGTTTACTCTTCTGGTAGTTTATTCCATATTTTTGACACTCTGCCTTTCTATATGACCTCACGAAACTGTCGCACGCAAAGCGGAAAAACAAACAAAGATTTTAATATAATTTCTTCTAATGATCAACTTTTCTAGAAAAAAAAAAATTTGTTAAAATTTTATCATCAATACTAAGTAAATCGATTATATCAGAGGCACCTATGCATGAGTTTGTTGTTCTCTTGAGGTAATCGTCYGTAACCAMCAAACTTTTTTTTCAGCTCATGAATAGAAACACTGTCGCTGATTGATGTTGAATGGTTTATTTGTTRAGCCAACTAGAAGATTTTCAAGAGCACGTAATCAAACTTTGATTCATAACATATTGATCGTACTATAACYCTTAACAACTTCATAGACTTCACAGAAGCAGGACTAACAGCAACGCGAAAACCAAGAAAGGTAGTACATCTTTTCAATTCACGAGTCTCGCGCATGAAATATCAACTTGACTCTTTTTATTCCTTTCTATAAAGATACTTGCTTTAATTTATCTTATTTTTCTTGCTGTTTCTATACTTTATTTGTTTATYTAAGTGTTAGATAGGTCGTCCATTTCAGTATCTTGTAACGATATAACTTGTGATGTATTTTTCACACCCACACTTTCTCTGGGGTCAGGARACTGATACCATAAGTCGTAGCATTTGCTTTTCGATTTTTCGGTTTGTCGCTCAAACTAGCAACTTTTTTTTTTGGACTTTATCAGACATGGTTGCACTAACGACGAGGCTTGGGCTGCAATAGCTACTTTTACAATCTTTTCCGCAGACATGTAAATATTTAGTGTTGCGCAAAGAATTCATTTCACTCGACACTTACTAACAACAAAATGGCTCACGACTTAAAAGGTGGGAACTAGTGGTAAACTAGTGTGAGCTGCGTCGGTGTTTCTAAAGAAACAGTTATGTAAAAAGATAAATAAAAGACCGTAAAAAAGTATGTGAAGTAACTTACTTAAATTTATCTTTTTACATAACTGTCACAACTAAAAAGCTGTATATCATTACATCTCATTTGTATAAGAACTGGGTCTTAATTGATTTACGATTGACTTTGTCGTATTTATACTTTTAGTGAACCACATGCTTCTTTTTTCGCTCACTACATTATGCGCATTTCTTTGCCTGGCAACCGCTGGCCGGCACAATGCTAAAAAGTGTGCGAAATCGAGCATGAAAGATTGTGCCAAAGCATACAAATCTGCTGTCAAGAGAGGAGACGATCATTGTAAACGTCTTCAGGTTAGTAGAATAAGAAACTCGACTCACCGTATGTTTCACTTTCAGCTTTCCCTCTTTCATTCACCTCGCGCATTAGGCGMGCATAGTCGAGACGTCTGTGAACATATCATGTTTTTTGAGTCAWAAATATTTTTTTTGAAAAAACTGCTTTCTGATTCGCTATAATTTGTGTCCAGGTAATGATTACTTGTCTGGCAACAAACGATCCTAATTGCGTAGGAACAGTCATCACAAGCTTCAGGTTTTGGATGCTGCAAATGGGCTTTATGGACGTCAAGATGAAGAAATGCCCAGATCTTGAAACAGCAAAGCTGAAAGCTATTGTAAYGGCTTCCAGTAAGCGTCTTACCACACTTGTGTAAATTCTCGCGCGCTGATTGGCCGAAAGAGTGTGTCAAGAAGAGGACATACAACTCAAAACCGTGCGCACTGAATTTGTTAAATTGTCACTTAACACTTCAGCGAGATGCACCATGGCATTATCGACTCATGATCATTTGCGAACWGCAAACAACCTGTACTTAAAATCCCTTCCGCCAGGTCTTTTAATATGACTCTAAAGCATTCTTTACTACGAACATATGTAACACAAAGAACTYTTTAGTTGTGTAATGTACCGCCATCTTGATTTTTCGTCAATTCCAAAATATATTTTGCCTAAACAAACAAAAAAAAGTCGTTAGCGAAGAAAACCGTTCAACGGCACACGCAAGTTTCGACGTTTAACGTCTATTTCTTATTAGTTTTCTTCTTGCGTAATACTAAAGCGTTGTTAAGTTGTGTTTGCAAATCCGAAAGCTAAACCTAGGACTTAATTGTAATTATYTTTTTGGTTTTCAGTTCCAAAGGATAAAAGCGTTACTTATGCTGATTCACTTGGTTAGTGTGTCCCGTTTAAGATCACGACGAGACTTATTATAAGTAGAYCATTGTGTTATTCCTTTGCATGTTTTTTTTTATGACAGAGACATCCGCCATCGCGATACTTTATAAATATACCATGATGCACTTCGCCCAAACACATGACGTCACTCATTGAATGATCTAATTGTTTCAGAATCTGATAGCGCTGATATGCCTTGCGCCCGTGAAAGCCACGACTACTGYGTGCACAAGTACATCAAAGACTTCAAAACCAAGAAAAACAGACTTTGCGCGGCGATAGACAACCTGAATGCGTGTTACAATGCAGCGGCGAAGACTTGTGATGCTAAAATCCTAAAAGACTTTGCCAAGATATTGAACAAGGTAGCCACACGAGTGACCGAGAACCTGAAGGCAAGCAAGTCTAAGATTTGCGGTGATGTTGATTCTGATCATGATTAAAGAAAACATTGACATAGCCATGCAAGTGCAAGTTTCTGACAATAGTTTTAGTTGTTAAATGAAATAAAATTACTGAAAAAGAAATAAAATGGATACAAAGGGAAGTTGATTGGAATTTCTTGTAAAAATAACAGATATAAAGTCACGTGACGGATGGCGACCGCTGTACATGTCGTTGTCAACTGAGGTGATCTCGCGGTCTAAACTGAGGTGGAAATTATACGTGATATTTTATGTCTTGTAATTATAATTTTATACTTTGATAACTTTTTGCAAATGATTAATTAACGAGATTACTGCACATATGACGATAATTAGACGGTGATTGATATTGCATCATGATATGATAGTTATTTATATAAGAATGATGTTTCGATTACGATGATTGCACGTTGATGATAACAATGATAAAATAGGAACATGATGAAGGCATATWAACGAGGCACGCAGCTCAGATAAAGCGCACCGTCATTGCTTCATCGCCCTTTTTGGCTGAACTTAAATTGTGTGCGTGCTCTCATAAAAAAACATCTCGTTGACCAATCAAAGCGTTCTTWTGATGCGCTCGATATGATAATGGTGATCATCATCAGTAATGTTATTTTTTATTAGAATATTACAGTTTTTTCCTCATATAAAAATAAAAAAACTGGAAAAATCAATTTCTGTTAAAAAAGGAAATGAGTGAGGCAAATGTACGATTCTGTTCTTTCATCGTTTGTAAATATTGCCACGATATCTAAATTAAAGATTAAAGCATCTACAAAGAGCTCAGTTGATATAGAGATGCTTTGTCAAAGTGAAGGGAGACATCAATCGCTGTATTGACTTCCTCAAGTAAGCTGTCTAACCTGACTTACAACTAGTCAAAGACATGTGTCACTTCGATGAAAGGATAAATTTGTTATTGAYGATGTAAAGTAAGCCAAGTCAGAATTAATCTTGGTATTTCATTATAWGGGAAATGGGAAGTTAGAATTCGTTTAATCAATGACTTCCTTATACTCCATGCGGATTAGTAAATATTTCWTTCCACTTATTAGTGCATTGCTTATTAAAAGAAAATATAGGCATAAACCACTTTACAAGTAGGGACATAATTTAGGCATTAGGGACAATTTATATGTTGGGTCTGAATCACCAAAATGTCATATAAATGGCTACATGCAGTGTAAATCAATCACATTTCATCAAAAGACGGCCAATTTCAAGGTGAAATGTCCATTTTCAAATATATTATATCAAACAGTTTATAGCAATATAAATTTTTAATTTTTAACCAGGATATAGACTGCGTGCAGGCAGACTGCAGGGATTATACAAAAACAGTTCCGATTATATATATTTGACAGATAAAAAAGTGAATACGGCGACAGTCGTCATAATTGCAATATTCCAAGTGACTTTTCCATCCCCTTAAGGGGTCTTGCGAACRCTATTGCTTTATTAATTAAACTGCATTTTACCTTTAAAGATGTCTAGATTTATGAAGGCGTGTAATTAAAAGTCGAYAAACCGTCAAAATTCAATTTAACGCCAGTCAATTGTCTCATAGTTTTAATTACGAGAACAGCATGTTTTGAACATTTTTAACAGGTGAAAATAATGTGAATGATCTTTGCCGGCACATATAATGGTGATATTGGACCGCGACTAGAGCAGCTAGCCAATTTCAAGGAAGACAGCGCTGTGATACTCCCGCCAAATACCACTTATACTAAACCCTTAGTTAACTATCACTAAACATACTATTATTCGTTGAAAATATAAAGGTACAATACATCCGCGATTATGATTCTCCTTTCTTTCTAGAAAGCAATCAGCTGTTATAGCGACTTTTAAACAGGAATTAACAATAAATGCCGCCCTTCTAAGCCAATCAAATWGCAGGATTTCATCGACACTGTAATAACTAAATATTAAAATGAAAATTTAAACACAGTAGGCATCGCGATTGCCTAGATTAAATATGTAGTGTAAAAGTAATTAAAGATTGTGCGTGTGTTTTCTTATTTAAGAAAATATATGCCCAAAGACGTTTTTTGAAAATTCTTGATCGCGTCCGTGATGACACTCCCTCATGCAGCTGACAATTATTTCTTCCCGTCTTTAGGTTCTGTCAATATTTTGTGATATTGTCGTTACAAAATATCATAATTAGCAAACACAATATCCACTGAATTATGAATATAGCTCATCAAAATCACTCATAAAATGTCCGGCTTTTAAAATTCAAATTTCTCTCGTTTTCTTTATACGCGATTTAAATTTTCTTTTATCCTGAATATCTSAGTTTAAGAAGAAGAGAAGAAAGTAAGAAATAAGTAAGAAATTCGATCCAATTGAAATGAAATAGGCAGAGAGGCGTAATAGTGAAACAGGCCTTTAAAATGCAATAAAATTAACGACTTCTAAAGAAGGTATTAGTCTGATACTATTGCATATTGACGTCACTGCATGGTAAAGTGGGTGGATAAGTGCTGTAATTATGTGATGTTATAAAAACGAAACTACTATTTAACAAAAGATACTCGCAAAAATATATTAATATAAATAACGAGAGAATTAACGCAAACTAAAAACCCACAAGGAGGAACACTTTGATATTGCCAGTACTTATCTATATTCGATACATGTGGCCGCACAAGAGTGTTACYATCAACGGATAATGGATTTCAAAACAAAAATAATTGAAATTTATATACAAAAAGTAAAAATAAAATTAGATAGAGAAATACACCTCTTTATCAATCAATGCAATTTGTCGCTAATATGTTTTTATGAGTAGTTTTGTTGCCTTCCAGTTTAAAATGATATTCTGTAATATAAGGTGAAGTCGTCGGAAGAAAACTCTAGAGTCTCTGTCCGGTTATGACGTCATGAACGACTTGCGCACAGCTGAGCCATCAATAAGTGTTTATATCAGTTTAAAATGATTAAGAGGATGGTGAAATGAAATGTGCAGTGTAATTTTTTTACTGTCGCCCTTAACCCTGGTATTAAGGGAATGATGAACGAGTCTTCGTATAACGGATCAAGCCAGTTCGTGGTGCCGTCGCGTGTAACGGCAGTAGTTTGGTGTGTTGCGTTCGGTTTTACTGGTACATTAATAGTGACTTTAAACGTTGGAACACTCATAACGTTTGCTATAAACAAACCCTTGCGACGMCATGGAGTATACAGTCTTCTAAACTTGGCTACAGCTGATATGCTACTTGGCTTAGTCATGATACCCTACTATACTATCGATGTAGCCAGCGCGATCTTAGCGAAACAAATAGTTCATCCACAGATATTAACCACATTACGAGCTTTGTACATTACTACAGTCGTTGCGTCGCTGTTTTGCTTGGCTCTCGTGTCACTTCAACGCATGTATGCGACGTACTGCCCGTTTGGCTATCGCGCTAAGGAGGCCAAGATGCTTGCGTCAATGTTCACCGTCCCTTGGATGCTAGCCGGTGCCACCTCGTTGGTATTTTTCCTATTGGACAGCGTTCAAGACCAAATTGTGATTTTTATCCAGGTTTTATTTGCATTGTCACTTGGTATTATTCTCATATGTTACATTGCTATTTTCATCAAAGTTAAAATGCGCTGTAGTCGTCAGAGGCACATCGACATACGTGACAGGCATCTGGCAGGTACAGTTTTCATGGTTACCGCTCTGTCCCTAATCACATGGATCCCCTCAATTGTGTTCCATAGTATCTACAAGACCCAGACCAGAGGTTTTAGCTTTAACTTACAGCTATCCATATACTTGATTTTGTGCACAAACTCATTAATCAATCCGATTGTATATTTGCTAAGAATGAAGGATTTTAGGAAGGCGTTGTTCAGACTTATGACCAAATGCTCGGCAGTTGGAATGTCAATGTCTCCTGTTCATTATATAAACTCAACCTCAAGAAGAAGTAGTGAAGTCCGTTTGACTAGTGTTTGCTTTAAAGAGACATAAGTCTATCAATATAGAAGCCTATTAGCGGCATAAACTTGAAAGAAAACACTATACTTCAACTAATTAAGTAGCAAAATGGAAACTAAAACTGAGAAATATGGCGGGAGTGATTAAAGTGTGTGTAAGTCAATACAAAACGGCGCGATACTGAATAATGTTTTTTCTACGTATAAAGATATTGAATTAGAACCAAGATAGTATTATCTATAACTTGCAGAAAATGCATTAGCGATTTAAATGGCTTTATGGCAGCACTAAAATGGCTTCAATAACACTTCAATAGCTTTTCAGCACTTTAATGGCTTTTACAGTTTACTTCCTACACAGTTCGCTTTCCTTTGAATGAACGCGTAGTTTGGTTTCGATCTCCGAAGAGGAGTTGCGTTGTTTATCTAATCAGTTAATGAATTCAATTGAACGCGGAGTCTTGTAATCTTTAACCAACGCAAAGGAATTCTAGCACACGGCACTTGAAGTTTGTAAAAAGCAGTGCTTCTGTGTTGAGATGTCGGATAAATTATCCGATAATTATTCAGGGAAAACCATGCATTTTAGAACGGGGTAAAAAAAGCATGAAGTGCACATTAAACTAATACACCTTAGTTCGCTCTAATTGCAGACGAGTGTTTTCTTTTGTGTCTATTTGACCTTAATAGTTAGATTTTGTCTCACTCTAGGAGATGTTACTGCGCTTAAAATATGAAATAATAATAACAAGAGCAAAGAATGCATACACAAACTCCGACGCAAATAATTGAAAACATAAAAAAAAAACATAAAAAAAACGATGAATGAATTAGCAGAAAATATAACAAAAATCAATCCTTAAAAGGCAACTAACTACATATTAAACCGAACGACCGAATAATAAACAAATAAATATATGGACAAAGAAACAAAGGAATAAAATTAACCACTTAATGTTGAAAAGAAAAAKAAAATAATTGGAAGATGAAACTATACAAGTGAGCGAGTTACAATTAAGACGATATATGAGGTAAAATACTATCCAAAAAACTGAGCAATATCATCTGATAATTCTTTCAATAGATTATTTTTAACCAAAAGTACAGATAAAGAACATGTTGAAAACCTCTTACTAGACCATGATAACAATTTTAAGGACCGGCTTATCTGTCTGATAGGGTGCGGTCAAGTAGATGGTTTATTTTATTAAAAGCTCGGTACATCGCAATGGATATGTACATTATCATTGTARAAGGCATGCACAGGAAACGGCGGCGATTCACAGAAAAATTGTAAAGAATCCACGAAACTAATTACAGTAGCTCGGTATCGTGTCAGGGTCAATAATTTAATCCAATAAACGCTTTCAACTTTCATATATTGTCTACAAGGTATTAAAAATGTCTCGCAGGATTAATTATTATATGAGATCTGCAAGCAAACGGTAATTCATATTCAAGTTTCAATATAAAAACACTTCCGTTTTGGCAAACACCAAGAATTTTGTATTATTTCAAAAGACGACTATGAATCACGGCAATGAAATTCCTTAAAAATGGACTTTATCCMTYTACTCATTAAAGAGCTTTCGTTTATGAAAATATAAATACATCGTAATTCAAGCAAAAACGTACTGTCTATAATTCATTTCGTATGCTGTATCTAATGGAGATATCGTAAGATTCGATCTTAAAGCCGAAGGATGGAAACGGATTACCGGAATGGATATTTGAAGTCACCTCCTTTTTCATACATGAAATAAGACCGCACTCATTTGACCATGGACCTTTAAAGTGCTACTTGCATGAAAATGGTCTTATTTCAAAACTTCAAGCAATACAAATATATGACTCATATATATCTATTAAAAACAATTGCGGGATAATATTTGTTTTGGAATAATCCCACATCAGAGAAATTTTGATTCAAAAGATGGAAGAACAAAAGGATTGAGTAAATGACGTCATCTACTCAAACATTTGTTGCCTAAATTATTAAGGATTTGTATCAATATCGTCTTGAAATCTGTTGCTTCATGATTATTAGACCCATATGGATAGGTCTATTTGATTTCCAAGTCTTTTCTAATGTTACGCAATTTTCGTCCAAGTAGCCCTTTAAATCCTCTCCTTATGAAGTGAGACTTATTTCAATGATAGAAATATTTCCAATGATTATCAAATTTGAAGGATAAAAATTTGATAGTTAAAATAAAATATTATCAATATTAACAAGAGTATACCCAGTAAGTGACGTCACAACAATTGTACTTGACACGGGTTACCTTAAATAAAAAAACTGCAATAGCAATTAAAATGTAGTTTTGAGCACAAAATGAGTGTTTTGGATTTTATTAAAAAACATTTATAAAATAATCAAAAGTTGCTCTTTCATTGACGTTGTCATTACGACTATCAATACAATCAGCAAGGTAATTTCCATAAGAGCAGACTATCCAGACTACACAAAAAATGCACACTCTGTTTGTTTAATTTTGACTCGGTAACTGGAAGGCTAGCCGGGTAAACGCTCTAAGAGCGTCCACTTCGTGACCTCCAAATATGGCTATTTGCCGAAGTAGTCYCGAAATCTTCCCGAAGACTTTGTCGTTATTCGCGCCAAATAACGGACATGTTACGGCAGAAAGGACTGGACCTGAATCAAGATGGCCGCCGTCTTATCAACTTGGTGATGTTTTGATTTCTTGATTTGATTCATTTCAATATGTCTGTACTTATAAAAAACAGATCAAATCGCTTCATAAGCGTTCCTTTGCAGAACAACGGTGCAGAGTGTCTCACYTTCAAAGACGTAAACAAACTAGGGTGTCTGAATGGTTACATYCGAGGTAAGAGAGACGCATACGATCGACAGTTTTTTTTTTTGTAAAATATACATTGATCTGCAGTGTTTACACGGGTAAGATAAGCTTGTGTTGATTTTTGTGCACATTCCTGAGGGAATTTTGAGTACATAATATAATGCACGTGGTTTTKTGCCGGAAAATTTATGCAAACAGGTCATGAAATACAGTAGTCTCAACAGCTTGACATGCAACACGAACCTGACAAAATATTTATGTACTGCTAGAGCACGAAATACTCTTAGTCTTCWCTCGCTTGGTGAGCTTATACTTCCAATCTTATAAAAAACAAATTTATTCAGGTTTTAACTTTTTTCGAAGTCCTTTTTGAAAATCATTTTTAATGAAAAAGTTTCCTCAATAAAGATTATTATTATTACTATTTATTATTAACTATTTTAATGGTATATTTAAATGATTTTAGGTGTTGTTTACCAAATTTTTCCTGCATTTGAGCATCGCATCTATGGAAAACTAYTGAAAATGATTTTGATTGACAAGAGTGATGACATGGATACTGACAGTGATGATGATGATTATGATGAAGAAGAAAYGAAGTATCAGAAACTCCCTTTTTTCACACGAGGAAAGGTAGCTGAGTTGTGTTCTACCATTAAAACAGGTGATGTTATTGTCTTGGAGAAGCCATTTGTAGAGAGATTGGACAAGCGGAACCCAGTTTACCATCTTTCTGGTGATAAGAATCTCTCTGATATATCCRTGTGGATTTTGAAAGCAACACGCCCTTCATTGATTGTTAAAAGAGAAAAAGCTGAAAGGATAGAAGAAGTGGATGAAAGCCCTGAAGCTGTTGAAGATGAAAGTAATGACRTCGCAGATAGCTCAGTCAGCTCAGACAGCCAAGGAGAAGAAGACTTGTCTGATAAAGAAAGACCAATAGCCAAAAATAAAGTACTGGAATCACCTCAGAAGAGACAAACCCCAAAGAAAAGAGTGGAAAATGAAAGTGATTTTGTTCCTGTAAGAGTTACAAGAAGTGCATCATTACCTACAAGTACCACTTCTAATGAGTCCAAAGTTACCAGAAGTACTAAAGTGCACAAATCAAAGTTAAAGATGGAAAGTTCATCTAGAATTACAAGAAGTGCAGTAGCTAGAGAACCAACAACTAGTGAAAGTACCTCAGATACTGAATATACTCAAGATACCAAAGAAACAAATAAAAAATTGAAGGGTTACAGGGAAAGCCCAAGTAAGATGTCAAGGATTACAAGAAGAACAGAAAACAAAGAACTCCTCACTTCCTCAGGTCCTGAGCTAAGTAATAAATCTASAAAGATGKCTTTAAGAAGTAAATCGAAATCAAGTGAGAACAGTACATTGTCAAAGAGTAAACTGCAAGAGCCACCAGGTAATAAGAACACCACACGAAGCAATCACWGTAAAGATTCTGCAGCCAAAGAACTTTCAAATATGAAAAATCAAAGTTCACAGTCTGAGTTTGAGATAACTGAGTTTGCATCAAGTCAAGAGCTGAGTGATAAAGATCAGCCTGTTATCAAAAAAGGAAAACGAACACAAGGAGTATCAAGTATTCCACAAGAAAATTCCAAATTATTGAATGCTGTTGTACAAATTGAGAATGTCAAACTAAAACCATCCCCTGTCSCAGTAGCTTCTCGTGTCCTAAGGTCAAATGCACAAACATCAGACATAGAGACGTTTGATGATGAAACTACTGATGAGGTTAGATATGATACTCGCAGGAAAAGAACCAACAGTTCAAAACAGAGGAAATCCACATTAAGTTCTCATCGTATTCTGAGGTCTCATTTGCAGTCTTCTGATAGTAGTGATGATGAGATGGTATTTCAAAGTCAAAGGAAAAGAAAAAGACGACAGTCAGCAAAAGCGTCATGTTCTGGTAAGCAGTCACTATCTCATACACAACCACAAAATACTGTTTCATCTTCTGGTGAAGAAAGCAGTGAAAACAACAAGCCAGGTACACCAAGTGGTATATTCAGTCCAGGTAGAATAAGATCTGGAAAAGATGACAAAGATACATCAYCTAAATCAATAAGCCCTCGCAAAAGCTCAAGACTTGATGCAAAACTGAAGAAGAAAACTGCTAGTGATAACTTACCTCATGGTAGCCCAGGAAAGCAAACCCAATCATTCAGAGCTGCTTGTTCTGATATTGAACAGAGCCAAGAAAGCAATAACAGTAGTCAACCACAAACACCAAGTGGTTTGCTCAAAACAAACAAATTAGCAAGTAGAAATAACCAGGAAACAGAATCACCAAATTCATGTCCATCACCTTCCAATAGAGCTTGCTCTGATGAACTAGCCCAAGRCAGTCCAAYAGATTCACAAACTGGCAGCCAACCAACAACATCTGGTGTTAGTTTTTACACGGAAACAACAAGACAAGGTACCACTTCTGGTGTGGCTGTTTCAAGCCCATCCAATGCCAAAAAATCCCCAATGACTACTACTAAGAATGTACCAACTACGTCAAATACACTCAGGGATTCCTATCAAGTTCCAAGTGGTTACACCAAGCTGTCAGACCTTCAGTTTAACACCACTGCTAGTCTTTTTGGAGTGGTAAAGTATTTCAAGCCTCCATGGAAATCTAGGGGGACAGACATGTGCTCTGTTTTGGTTCTTGCTGACCCATCAACAGATGAACCTTTGGAATGTGTCATTTTTMATAAAAATTCTGATCTTCTTCCACAAGTTAGAAGAATTGGAGACATTGTACGCTTACACCGGGTGAACATCAAAAAGTATCAGGATAAATTCCAGGGTTTATCAACAAGAGGTTTCTCTTGCATTGTCTTTGATCGTGAGGTTACTATTCCTGTCTCTCCAGATGCTGCAAGATTCTCTACAGCATCTTTCACTTTTGATAATTCTGACAAGGACATGGTGAGAACACTCAAAGAATGGCGTATCTCCCAGGATAGTCTCTTTGAACCAGCTAAGGTATTGACAGTGTCTGAAGTGGAGCCAGATCTGTATTTTGACATYGTCTGCCAAGTAAAAGGTCTTTCAAAGCAGAGCAACCTTGACTGTGTCTGTCTTAAGGCTACAGATGGTACAGATCCAAAGTATGAAATCAAGAACTGTGATGATGAKGATGATGGTTTTGAAGCACAACTTCCATTTGACCAAACTAACTTTCAGTTTAAGACTTTTGATGTTTATCTCTATGGTGATCATGCAATGCTGTTGCTAAACATGAAGGTAGAAGACAGCTGTATACTCATGCTTCATAATGTACATGCCTCAGTTGTCCAGGGGGGGCTTGGTGCTAGCCTACTTGATGTTGTTGAACCAACAATTGAGCTATCAGTGCATAGAGGATCAGAGTATGGAAGAGGTCTTGCTGTACTGAGCCAGGACAGCACCGATGCTAAGGAACTACTTCAAAGGCTCAAGACACCTTCATAGAAGTTGATGACTGTGTTTGTTTTTATACAAGTATAATGCTAGTAGGACAAACCATAGATATACAATGTACTGTAGTTTGTGTTGCATATTCTAGAACTCATTCATAATTCATGAGCTATTAGTCCAATGAGCACCAAACTATTGGGTCACATGATGGGCCTTTATATCCGGTAAAGTACTGATGTTTTATTAATCAGTTCTATATCAGATATATAGAACTGATGTTTTATTAATCAGTTCTATATCAGATATAAAGAACTGATCAAGTTCATCAGCGCTTTATCGCAACCCAACACTAGCAAAGGTCTCAGTTTTAATGTTGCATCATAGTCCTTTGCTAGGTTTTAAATCAGTTTGAATCAATGTGCCGACATGCACTATAGCTAGACTAGCAATTCTTTCGTGTGGGATCAAAATTCTTTCAATTGTGGCACAAAGCAAATGCTTATTAGAAGTTCAATATACATTATCACTGTTTTCACATTGTTTAGCTTTTTCCTAAAATGATAACAATTTCTGAATGTTGGAGTTCTAGAAGTCGTTTATAGAACTCAAGTGCTTCATGTTTTATCAGGTATATCACGATAAAACACGCACTCTCGTTCTATAAACAACACATATAAATTTTTAATGAGTATATAGACTGGCAAAGATTTTTGATTATTTGCCACTTTGTGGTAGGTTTTTACATGTATAATTATAATAATGAGAGTGTTCAGTTTCAAGCTTCGTGCATTTTAATGAATGCACATTAACATTTTGGTTATAAACACATCAACATCCATTATTTAAGTTGTTCTCAAGAAATRTTGGTTGTCAAGAGAAAAATGACAGAAACAAGTATATAATTAATGTATTGTTACACTATTGACATAATCTTAGGTTAAGGGTCATATGCTTTTATGTTCAAAGTTGTAATTTGGTGCAACAGAAGTACTGATATTTGCAAATGTGGTAAAACATTGMCTTTTACACATCTGAACAATAGRAATTTGGTAAAACAATAAGTTTGATTTAAACAACTTGAATTCTTTACAATTTATTCAAAAGTTATTCACAAGATTTACAYTATTTTCGTACAATACCTCATTCTTGATTATCAATCCCACGTTTATTATATAAAACACTACATTGTATTTTTATTGCTTCAAAATCTAATATAGAAATACCTTTAATGTTAACCAATATAAGGTAATATGTATCATTTCAAAACATGATTACAATCACCATGAACATTGAATGTTTCTTTAAAAAATAWWTTTTTTATGTATTTCAAAAAATGTATTTCAAAAAATGTTGCAAATATTTCCTTTTTTGTGTGTCAATGTCTTAATAAGATAACAGTGTTATTGATACTTTTAATATTTTCTGATAATCTATAATAAATGTTATAAATGTCTATTGTTATGGCGTATTTAAAGTTGTTATGATTTGATCTTTTATGGAATGTGGTCACATGTTCTGAGATCAAGAAATGTATTTTCTTTTTCTTATTATGTGATGAATATTATAGAACTCATGTCCCAGCTGAAAATGAAGTTGTAGATGGGCACAGATCTACAAGCCATATAATCTTGGGTTCTCTTGGATATTAATCAGCATACACAGTGATTGACAGCCTTCATAGAGAACGAATCGTGCTCCACAATCACACCTGATTTGATCTGTCAATCAATTATGAGCTCTGAAATGTTCAGTGTTAGGAATTCATGGTTCTTTAGCTCTGATAAAATCTCAATTTCTTGTGGTTCATGGAGTGCAGCCCTGAACATTTGATGAAACCTTGTTACATCTTCTTGTGTCTGAAAATAACACAATATTATGTGACGGGCAGTTAAGCGAAAGTTTGTTTTTTCACCTACAGATAGACTGACATTGGATGTGAGATAGATTACCTGTAGAGTTGTAGCTGAGTTTGATCGATTTCGTCTCTGTCTTGTTTCCCATTGATCAACAAAGGCCTCAAGAATGAGTGCCACAAACAGATTGATACTAATGATTACAGACACCAAATACCAAGCCAGAAAATACAGCTGTGACCAGCTACAATATCAATACAACAGGATGAATGTGACCTTGTTAGTTATATTACCATTAAATTAAAAAGCTTTGATAATGTAAAAGCACAAAATTGCATTTATTAAGGGCCGTGATACCCTAGGATTAACATGCTGCAATGTATTCAGATGTTGTTATCTGAATGTCTTCATTATCAAAATGTCTGTAGTAACATTTCAATTTCCAAGTAAAAGTTGAAAACAAAGGAGGGACTTCAGAGAGGATTATCTCAAAGTGCTTGAAATTTGAAATTGGACTTGGTGTTCAGTMCCAGTGTGGATTGTAGGTACACAGGGTTCCCAACACTCACCCATTAACAAGCTGTGCATATGCCTTCAGGAAAACATGCCAGTTATTTACAACCATGATATCCCATAATAGTACTAATGAAGCCTTGAAATCCAAAAACATTTAGYATAGTTGATAGTAATATGGAAGAATTCTCAAAGGGGAGGGGAGGGTGGGAAGGATAATTGTAACAAAAAAATGGAAAAGTTTACTCACGGCAAAATCATCAAAATTATTAGCATAATACTCCAGTTGATCATAAGATAGAGTTGAGCAAGGTTTTGCTGTACTACTGCAAACATAAGAAAAATCTTATTTCTAAGTAAAAAGTAATTCAAATTTAAGAAATGAAATAAGTACAGCTGATGTGATCCTTGCACATACATACAAAAGAAAAAGGGAAAAAAGAATTGATTACTTACTTGTCTTTGATGGCACATCTCTCTGTTGGGTCAGTGACTTTAGGAAATAGAATCATGCCAAGAACAGCAAACACATAATAAATAGCCTAAACACAGGTAAGTCAATAACTTTACAGGCATAAGAAATCCCTACTATCTAGGGCATACCTAGCATGTCACAAATTCATAATTCCACAGGGTTCCCAACTATTTGGGACATTTAAAACATTGTATTTTTAATGATTCAACAGGGATCCCAACTATCTGGGAGGCAATAAACCTACCACAATCAGGCCTGCAAAAGGAGAAAGGTTACGTAGAAGGTTCATCAGAGTTTCAGTAACAAGAGAGAGAGCCTRGAAATACAGAAAAATATATG